TGCCTGGTGCTGTGTCAGGGCTGGCAATAGTTTTATGTAGAGTTTAGATGATGGGTTTGTCTGGGCTGGTTTGCACAGGGCTGATCCTGCCTCAAGCAGGGGTTGGACTCGATCTGACCTCCGCAGGTCCTCTCCAGCCCCGTGGCTACAGGATTTCGAGGATGATTCTAGCGATCACGGGCAGCCAGGCTCTCGATGACTCTCAGCCACATCACTTGTACCTACGTTTGTTTCAAATTTGCCCTGCACTCATTTCCAGCCTCTTTGCGGAGTGAGCAGGCAGGGCAAAAAGGGATCAGTTCCTTCTCACCCCCCGACCCTCCATAGTTCCTGATCTCCATTTTGTGCACTGAGATCACTGCCTCTCGCCCGATCGGGGTGGAGTTTGGATGCACAACACATTTACCTGCCTTTGAGCAAGATAAAGGGGCTCATGGGTACAACACAAGCTGCTAACCTGGGGTAAGGGTCTCGAATCAGCTGTACAGCTGCCCAGGGAAAGGTCAGCCGTCATGACACCCTGGTGTAAGTTGTACTGATGAAGTACCGTATGTCCGCAGCGATCCAGGGGTATCCATGTGATGGAGCCTGTCACAGAGTCCCTTCCAAGGGGTAACTGCAGTCTTTGCAAGTGCACCTCAAAGCCTGCCCTGCTGTGTCTCCTAGAGCAAGTGGAGGAGCCTGGGCTCCTTCTGAGACCCTGGCCTTTTGGTCTCTCGTCTTTCCTGGTTGTCCTTGGAGCTGCATCCAGTTGTGCCCCGGGAGAGGCGCTTTACCCTCTCTTGCTGCGGAGAACAAGGGCTGCCCCAAGTCCCAAGCAGCAAACAGACAGCTCTTGCTTTCAAAAGCTTGTTCATTTTATCCCAGCTCTCTCCCACAAAAATGCATGCCTGCTTCAATTAGGGCAGAAGTCATGCAGCCAGAGGGTGTCTGCCCCCTCTTCGAAGGCTTACGCCATTCCTCTGTCCCCTGTCCAGTCTGCACAGCCCAGCTAACCATGAAGATCGCTCCGCTATTCTCCTTCCAGACCCAGAGCCCCCGAAGCTCCTCTCCTGGTCTCCGATCCAGCCTCTCAGGCCAGGAGCTGACACCTTGTTCCCATTCTCCACCCCTTCCTATGCTGGTCTCATCCACCTTCCCTCCAGCCCCCTGGCCATCTCACCTTTGCTGATATGTCAACAAAGCTACTGAGGGCTGTGGCTGGTAGAGGTCCATCTGTCATCTCCTGCTTCCTTGTCTCTTTAGCCCATTCCTTCCCCATGTACGAGCTTGGTGGGGAAAATGAGGCACACAACATCATTCATAACACCATAACACAGAAAGATCCCAATAAAATCCGCGAGCCGTCACAGAGCCTCCCACGTGTTACACCTGTATCCGAGCACTTGGCCTCGCCTTTTCCTTGTGCTCTCCCTTAGCTGTATTCACCTGTTGTCTCTTGCCTTGGACTATAAGGTCCTTGGGGCAGGGCATGTCCTCTTGTGGGTTTGCTCAGTGCCAAGCAGAATGTGATCCTGGTCCCTTCCTAGGGTGCCCAGCCCCTGTAGGGATACACGTAACAGCCACTTTAATAACCCCGGTCTCCCTTTCAGGCCGAATAAAGGAGCTACCCCCTGGCAGCATGTGAGGTCAGGCACAATTTAAGCTTTGCAATTCCTTTCACTGGTCTGTGCTTGTTATAATCAGAAGAAGTTCAGCTCAGAGAAGTCACCGATAGATAAAGCAGCCTTAAGGGCTTTGGGGTAGCAGTGCGGGCTCCCGCAGTAGTACACTTTTCAATTTCCCTACCATTAAGCCGGCCTCAAATGTTATTGACAAATAAAGCACAAAAGCAAAACCACTGAACCTTTCCCGCTGCTACAGAAAGGTTCCACTTACCTCCCTGCCAGCTGCCGCACGCCTGGAGGGCTGAGACTTAGAGCCGTCAGAGCCCAAACTCTAGGGACTCCCAGCCTCTTGCAGCGGTGGAGAGTGGCTCCATTCTAATTACACTACTCCCTCATCCTAATTACTGTTATTTAGGTAATGCCGAAAGTGTAGGCAGTCTTGTCAACAGCCTGGGAAATACCCAGCGCGGTGACACGTCAGGCATGACAACCTGCTTTAAGCATCACCATCCAGCCTGCAAGACCGGGGGAGGGAAGGGACGGGCTGGCACGCAAGGTGTGACTGGCCTTTCGGAGCTGAAGGGGAGGCAGGAAGGAGAATGAAATGATCCAGGGGTGAGAGCACAGAGATGTGCAAGGGGACCTTGGGCGGAGGGGAAGCAGAGAGATAGAAGCAGAGGAAGAGTTGTGCTGACATGGAGCAACAGCCAGGGTTTCAATGTGACTTTTAGTTTGCAACGAATCCATGGACGCAATGCTTTCATTCCCAGCAAGCCAAACTAAACTACGTTGAGAAGTTTTACTTTAATGCACGAGAAAGACTTTTAAAGCGTTGGGAAATCCCACGCGTGCAAACAGACATGCAGTTGCTGCACATGGAAGGGCAAAAATCGTGGCATGTATATGAGCCCCATATCTGTAGCTTCATCCGTTTTACTGAGTATTTAGTACCACTGGTCCCCAACTGCAGGCACAGTTGAGGTGGTATTACACCATCAGTGTTTGGGGGCAGGGGTTCTCATGGTGTGTACAGAGTCTAGCCCAGTCAGGTTCTGGTCCCTGAGTAACACATACTCACAAGGGTCTGCTAACACCCCCCACCCCCCATGTTCTGTGCAAACAAGACCTGATTTCCCAGTGAAGTCCAGTCCTTCTTTAAATAATTAACAGGCGCTTTCTCTTTGTTGATGGAGGGTGCTGGGGCACTTCAGGGTTAAGGCAAACTTAGTATGTGAATTCAGGAAGGGGGCTTCCCACAGCCTGCAGTTCTGGCCATGTCTCCTATGCCTCCTTCCTGATCTGCTTATGGGGGTTAGGGGGTTGGAAATGGATCTGGGGGTGGGACACATGGCTTGTGAGGAGAGGCTGAGGGAATTGGGATTATTTAGTCTGGAGAAGAGAAGACCAAGGGGAGATTGAATAGCAGCCTTCAGCTCCCTGCAGGGGGGCTGCAAAGAGGATGGAGCTGGGCTGTCCTGAGTGGGGGCAGATGGCAGGACAAGGAGCAATGGGCTCAAGCTGCAGCAAGGGAGGTTGAGGTTGGATATTAGGAAAATCTTTCTCAGAAAGAGGGTGGTGAAGCACTGGAACAGGTTACCCAGAGAGGTGGTGGACTCTCCATCCTTGGAGGTATTGAAGACCCGGGTAGACAAAGCCTTGGCTGGGATGATGTAGTTGGGGCTGGTGCTGCTTAGAGCAGAGATTGGACTAGATGTGACCCCCCCGAGGTCCCTTCTAGCTTTCGCTGTCTGTGATTCTATGAATATGTCAAGTGTATTCTTTCCTCAGTAATCTTGATGGTTTCCTTACTAATTTATAGGATTTTTATTTTAAATGTAAAGAATTGCAATGAACTCTTTAAACATAAACTGGCTGCTTTTTGTAGCTCACAAAAAGGCGACATTTGTAGTATACCTCAATATTTTTTTTTTTTTTTTTACAGCCAGCTCTTTTAGCTGCACTTGTTCTCGTGGCTTTTGTGTAAATATGTCTGCTGTGGTTGACATAAGACACTTGTAAAGGTTAAACTCGATCCATTTGGCTAGGTGCAAAATGCTTATTTTTATCAAGGCCACGGATTTTTCAGGTTTTGTGCCCTAAGAAATATTTTTAAAATGAATATATATAAACATATTAATATATACAAATTAATATGTGCATATATATCTATTGACTCAGGGTTATCTATCTATGGGTGATAGATTTATATCTAGATAGATAGATAGAGAGAGATTTCTATCTATCTATCTATCTATCTATCTATATCTCCCATATATAGATATAGATAGATAGATAGATATGGGAGATATCTATCTATCTATCTCCCATATTTCTCTCTCTCTCTCTATATATATATAATCGATATATGTCCCATATCTATATCAATATCAATATCTATCCCTTATATATATCTATATCTGTATCTCTAGCTGTATCTCTATCTCTTATATAAATGGGCTTCATGTAGCATTTGGCAGAATTAAACGCGAGCCCCGGGATGAGGTGCTCAGCCCTCTCCCCCTGCCCTGGCCTGTCCATCAGGCCCCTCAGAGCCCCTACCAACTACAATTCCCAGGAGCCTCCGCGGGTCTCCCGACTGCGCATGGGCCCCGCGGTGGGGAGACGGGCCGCGGCCGCGGGGGCTGCTGGGGGTTGTAGTCCCCTTCCCTCCCCTGGC